AGGAACCGGACCTAACCGGACCGCCCGGACCGATTGTTTTTATTTATTTATTTTATTTTTTAAATGTCACATTGCCAAAAGTCATTGGGGGTTCAACAGCGGCAACGATTTGCAGGCGAGGGGTTTGGCGTTGCTGTGGGTAGTCCAAACGTGGTCGTATCGCGTTGGCACGACGAAGATTACGCCTTCGCGGTGAGGATTCACCTTCAACGAGTTGGTCTCGAACCTGCGAAAGGAAGAAAAGTTACTGGACTTTTCTTTTTGGCGTTTCCATTAGTGAAACATACGAGCTCTCTTTGTTGAGAAGAGGAGAGAAGAAAGCCCCATGTCAGTCCCAGTCGTTCTTTGAATGCGAGAATTGCAGTAGTGGAGGCCTTCTCTGTGTGCACGTTTTCCTTCGTCAATTTTCTGAGTCTTCCCGTGAGTGCCTTCTTCGCGTAGTGATCCTTAAGAGAAACCAGCACAAACCTCCCTGCCTCCTTCTCGACCGGTTCCATTGGACCAGACCGGCGGTCCGGTCTGGTCCAGTTCTAAGTCCCTCCGGTCCGGTCTACAGTTCCGAAAATTGAGAATCGGTCCCTCCGGTCCGGTTCCCGGTTCCGGGATGGGACCAGACTGGACCGGGAACCGATCACCCCTAATAACAACTAACCAACTTTGTCATTTGACCTTTTTGTTATTGATGCCTTTTCCATTTTATAAAATTTGTGTTTATTATTTTTGTTAAAATATCTTATTTAGTTATATTAAGATGGCTATATTCATTAATTTTTAACAAATTCTTATCATTTAAGATGAACTTTCAACTTTATCATGGGGAGTATAATCTTTCATTTCTGTATTAAAATGTCATGGAATCGTAACTTTCTTGGAAAATGTCCTGAACTTTCAACTTTATCAATTTAAATTAGAAATTGAAGGAGGATGTCCATATCGTAGATATGATGAGTGAGTACAGTGGATCAATTCAGATCCAAAGACTTTAGATGCAAAATTTTCCCCCTCAAACTAAGACTTATAAAATTATTGTTTTCTAATTTAGACCAAGACTTGCAAGGAGAAACGTTTTGGTGGCATTTAAGGGGATAACTTACCAATTTAGAGGTGTCAAAATAGGCTGATGACCCATTTTTAAACCTATTTTTGATGAAATGGGTCCGATGTGGGTTGACCTATTATTAATGAATGGGTTATTATGGGTTTGAGCTGTAAAGCTCAATTAAATGCAGATATTAAATGTGTTTTAAATGGGTCTACATTTTTACCTAACCCAACCCAAGCTACCTGCAAATCTCTTTTGTTGATGCGGAAGCTCAGGTACAGAGAGAACGAGAACGAGAACGCCTCGACTCCCAACCCTCAAGTCAGACTCTCACCGGCGACCGCCGTGGTTCCCATCCGCCGATCCCTCTCTCTCTCCTCTCTCTCTTCCCTCTCGTCCTGCTCTCCTCCGCTCTCGCCTCCGAGTCAGATCACAAGGTAACTCGTCCTCGTCCCCCCACATCATAGTTGACTCGGACGTTGTCCCCAACGTGGTTTCCTGAATCCTAGATCTCATTTGCTGCCTTGTTTTTGGTCCCTAATTTGCTTTAGATCTGCTCTTTCGGGATTGCACTGTTTCGGCTACGTCGTCTCCCCCCACAGCATGGTTGACTCGGCCGTTGTCCCCAACGTGGTTTCCTGAATCCTAGATCTCATTTGCTGCCTTGTTTTTGGTCCCTAATTTGCTTTAGATCTGCTCTTTCGGGATTGCACTGTTTCGGCTACGTCGTCTTCCGTTGTTTGAAGAAATGCCAGTTAGGGCTTTCTCATGGAAATTGTGGATTAGAGGGTTTGAGAGGGTGAGAATTGAGCTTGAGAACTATGTTCTTGATTTATTGCCTCATGAAATTACAGTTATATTCTTTAAAAGAGGATCCATCGGTGAGATTGACAATGTGTGTGTATATATGTGATGACTATAATCAAGGTACTCATTAAATATATATTTTGAAAAGTAGTCATCTTCGTTAGCTACAATAATAATCATATTTACTTTGACTATTTAAGCTTTATTTTTTCTAATTTCAACAAGAAATTTATAGCTAGAAAAAGTAAGGCAGATGTAGGAAAAAAATAAGTAGTTGAAAACTATGGGTTTAAATGTGCTCTAAATGATTGGGCACTAGCATTCATAGGTGGGAATAATTATAAATGTGTTTTAGTAAATGATTGGGTACTAGCATTCATAGGTGGGAATAATTATACTAGAGTGGAAATTTGGACAACTCTCATTTCTTTTTTTTTTTCAAAAAAAAAAACAAACATTTTTAGAAAAAAGTGAATTTTCCATCTCTTTAAGCTAATATTCTAGACAATCTTGAGCTTTCCGCTTGCTATTAAAATTGTCCTACACTGTCAACATTATCATGGGGAATATGAACTTTCAGTTATGCATTAGAATGTCATGGAATCGTAATTTTCTTGGAAAGTGTCCCGACCTTTCAACTTTATGATGTCCATTTTCGTAGATTCGATGAATAAGTAAAATGGATCAATTTAGAGTTTCTGTCCAAAGACTTTATATGTAAAATTTTTCCCCTCAAGCTAAGACTTCTAAAACTAACATTTTCCTATTCAGACCAAGACTTGCAAGTAAGTACTTTTTTTCGACATTTATGGTCATAACTTACATCATCTTTCACGATAAACAAGAAAATCTTACCATGTATGCATAATGTCACTAATGTGATACTTTTGGTTGCTCTTTGATGTTTTCAAGAATAAAGTAAAACCAAAAGAATAAAGGCATTTTAATTTCCTTACGAAATTAAGGACAGAGATGGGTGCCAAATGAAATAAAAAAGAAACATATATATTACTTATGATCCTTGACATATGTTGCGATAAATTTTTTTTCGCATAAGTGATTGTTGATAATACAACATTTCAATCATAAAATGGAGTTTATCCATCTTATATTACAATATGTAATAAGCTCAAAGTGAGTGGGCAAAATTTCAAGTGGGATCAAAAGCTTATATATATACACCAAAATACCTTTTTCTTGTGGAAAATAAATTAACAAAAAAAAGGAAAGTTCAACGGTGCAAAGCACTGGGACTAACGCTGTCTATTTTGACCACATTTTCTGGAAACATGCGACCGCACTCATTGCTTGTCACGTGCAGTTCAGGCCAACTCTTACTTTTTTTCTTATTTGGCAAGTGAGAAACCGCTCTGCAACTTGAAGCTCTCTCTCTCTCTCTCTCTCTCCCCACTTTTCATCTTCTCCAACACTTGGGTATTGAAATTTTAACAGCACTTGTCTATTTCCTTTGGTTTTCTTTCTTTCCATTGTTCTGCATCCTTATTCCTCACATATTGTCTTCTTCCTAGGCAGGCATCTCGTATTTCCTGAGAGGCATTCTGGTTTTCTTCTCCGTCAGACTTGAAAGCAAAAACCCAGGACAGAGTCAGAGCAAAGACGAAATGCATCGTCTCAATAGGAAGAAAGCTAGCGTGTGTGGGAAAGCAGAAGATGCTGATACTAGCGCATCTGGTTCGTTGACTGCACCAACGGGAACTAATGCTGGTGGATCTACTTCGTCTTCGACAGAAACTAACAATGGTGCATCTAGGTCGTCGACCGCGCCGACTGGAAACCGTTACGATGTGTTCTTGAGCTTCAGAGGTCGAGATACTCGAAAAGGCTTCACGAGTCACCTCTCCGAAGGGCTAATCAATGCCGGAATTCATGCTTTCAAAGACGAAAAAGAGCTCCGCAAAGGCAAGAAGATCGGACCAGATCTTTTGGAAGCTATCGAGAACAGTAAGATCCTGATCCCCATTCTCTCCGTGAATTATGGTGAGAGCAGTTGGTGCCTTGATGAACTGGTTCAAATAATGGAGTGCAAAAATAGTAGCACGGGGCATATAGTGTTGCCCATATTTTTCAAAGTGGAACCAGCTGATGTGCGACATCAAATCGGGACTTTTGGAGACAAATTTCATGAACGTGAAAGCCGTTCGCGTAAGAGGGGTTCCGACCCAACGATTTTGGAGAAATGGAAGCAAGCGCTCACTGACGTCGGTTTACTGAGCGGATGGGACGCCAAATTCGCCAATGGGTAAAATCTTTCCCGAAAGCATTCTCTACTTTCTTTTAATTTGTATGGGTGTTTTCTGGTTGTTCTCGTTCCTACCTGCTTCATTTTTCTTCTTTCTTTCTTTTTCTAAAGAAAAAAAAGCAGTAAGATCTTGCTAGCAGTAAGATCCTACGATGCATGAGTTCCATAAGTTAATTCTTTTTTTAGAATTAATTTAATGACATCGACCAATCTAACTATAGATTTTAATAGTTATGACCACATTCACTTGAATAATATAAGATTTTTTAAAATGAATTTTTACTCTTATATCCAAAAATTTGGTTATGTTGTGCCTTTTTTTTTTCTAGTTTATAGTATAAGCTACATTAATCTTCATCATAAACTTTTCTAATTACGTATTTATTTGAGATTAATAGTACAACTTATTGGTGGTTCCTGATCAAAACTCGTAACATCATGTACCGTGCAAGTTGATTGTCAAAGCCTTAATTCTTTATCTTCCCAAGTTACATTTGTTACATTATTAATGTCGTTAATTAGTTGCTGTAAATTATTTTTACGAAAGAAATATGTCATTGGTAGATATGACGATTGCTTATTGGATTTTTGCCTACTCAAACGCTATAGAAAGTTTTCAATGTCACGACCAAATCAACTCTGATGTCTTTAACAAACAACAAGTTTAAACTTTAATTCAAATCCATAATCCATGTAATATTCAAGATTCATAGTGACACCCTCAAGTTTCTTATGGCTTAATAAATGATGTCAGAGTAATAATGGGATGGGGCACGCCATGTGAAGCAACCACCACCATTTCCCGCTTTAATCTTAGTGTGTAAGATAATATATGATGGTGTGGCAAAAACAATTCTTTAAGTTTTCCGATTTATCCTCCGATTTTTTTTTTGCTGTGTTATCATTAGTTAAACAATATAAAATTGCTATTGCCATGTATTTGAACTCTTGTCACATTTGATAGGTATGAAGCAAAATTGGTAAAATCAGTTGTTCAACAAGTGTTATTCGAGCTGAAGGAAAAGTTTGAGTTGGTTCTTCCTGAGAATTTGGTCGGAATTGATAGTCATATGAAGAAGGTTATGGAATTTGTCGATAATAATTCTCATGCCACCCTATTTGTTGTCATCCACGGAATGGGAGGCATTGGTAAGACTACTCTTGCTAAAACCATCTACAACAAGCTATCCAATCAATTTGAGCATTGTAGCTTCATTGCTGATATAAGGGAGTCATGTAAGGGTAAAGGACTTGACTACTTGCAAAATCAATTAATCTCTGATATATTGAATCCAAAAAATCAAGTTTCCAATAAGGATGAAGGGATTAAGTTCATTTCATCCAAGTTTGTAGGTAAGAAAGTGCTCATTCTTCTCGATGATGTGGATGATGACGATCAATTGAAGGCTTTGGCTGGAAAGCATAACTGGTTTTCTTCAGGAAGTATGATCATTATTACCACCCGAAACAAAAGTATTCTTGACAATGCTAAGGTGGACTACCAGTATGAACATGAGGAAATGGATGGGGATAGCTCTTTGATTCTGTTTAGTAGACATGCGTTTCGAAGGGACGCTCCTCCAAAGGAATTTGAGGACCTTACTCGTAAGGTTGTGTCCGCTACCGGAGGGCTTCCCTTATCTCTAAAGGTTGTAGGTTCATTTTTGTGCGATAAAGAGCTAGTGGTATGGACAGATACGTTAAGAAAATTAAGAAATGTCCCTCCTAAGGAAGTGCAAGAAAAGCTAAGGATAAGTTATGACGCTTTAGATTATGAACAACAACAGATTTTTCTGGATATTGCTTGTTTTTTCATTGGCACTGACTTGAGAATCGCATCCTACATGTGGGACGCTTGTGAACTTTACCCAAAGCAAGGCATTGTAGTATTGAGATTAAGGTCATTAATAAAAGTCGGAGAGAATCATGAGCTTAGAATGCATGACCAATTGCGAGATTTTGGTCGAGAAATTGTCCGCCAGGAAGACAAGAAGGAGCCTCGGAATCGCAGTAGGTTATGGGACTCCGAGGAAGTCTTGAAAATACTAGAGGAAGAAGATGAGGTAACCGTTTCTTTTCTTTTGTTCCCTTAGTCCGTGTTCTACTGTCAAAGTGAGGTTGGTCCTCTACTTAGTGCTTGCTCTAGTGAACAGAGAACTTTCTAATATTATTTTCCTCATATCGTTTCATTGACATGATTAGAAATTAGGAGGTTACCCTCTCTTAGTAAGTGCTGCATCTTATCTGAGATTTTTCTTATATAAGTGTACATTACGAAGTTTTTTCCAAGAATGAGGTACTTTAAAATTTATTAGATACTTGATAGGGGTATTCTACTTTGAAAAAATCTGAATTTATATAATTGATTGGGTTACGTCCTTGACACGTGTAACAAATAACTTGACTATGCTACTGTGAACAATAACTACTTAGGATATATAAATCATAGAATTCAAATCTCCCGGTGTTAGAATTAATACAATTGGCGTAATCGTGCCCGCATGTTTTATGAAATTTCAATCGTTATACCCTAATTGAGAATGGAAGGGGTATTTTATTTTATGTTATATTAGGTTAGGAATTGCTCTTTTTACCAAAATTCACATGATAGAACAGGAACATGTATAGACATACATAACGTTAAGCGTACTTCACGCAATGACCATTAAAAAGAGAAATGTCTTATTTTTTCCACATAAAAAGTCCCAGAGATAAATACTCTAAAATTCTATTTTGTATATAATTAAGTATGTGATTGTATTCTATTACTTTGAATACGTCATTCAGTTTGATTCAAAGTAAGTTGCTCAAAAGACTAGCACTTGTTTGTGTTTTCAACGTGCAACCTATTTATAATCTCAAGTACTAGCAATGTCAAAGCTAATGTCTATTTATTATGTCTTTTGTATTACATCATAAATAAGCTAAAATAACCACAAGAAAAATTAATACGCTGTAAATTTTATATCTAAATAAATTGTTATGACTAACTTTTATAACTAAAAAGGCACATTATTTGACGTAATTATTTCAGTATTTTTGTTGGGTTCATTACGTTTAAATCAAAGTAGTTTTGATAAAACTGATACAAGATCTTCTTTTAAGTTTATTCCCACGTTTAATCAAAATATATAAATTTATCTTCATGTGTTATCTAAAGGTACAATCAACTTTGATAAAAAAAAAAAAAAAGCATGTGAAGTGCGAAGCATGGACATGAGCACTAGGACGACTTACAAATAAACAAAAAATGAAAGACATTTAAAGCATAATTGAAACACATTCATAACACACTCCTTGGATATTAGTGAGTATACATCCAAATAAAAAAGGGCACAAGCTTTAGAACCAGGAACAAAAATAATACAACCTTAAAAAATCCTAAAAAGAAGCCTAATCTTTTGCACGTAGGATGAAAATAACATAACTTTTCAAGCATCCCAGATAAAAACTCAACCTTTCATTTGTAGGATAAAAACATTGACGCACGTCACAAATTATGTCTATTCTCACCGTAAGTCGCCAAGCGTCATCCTACATTGCTCATGGTACTGACATTCACAATGAACCCCTTTAATCATGACCACAAAAGACATTTACAAAATGCTAAAAATTTGGTAACAAAGAGTATAAATAAAAAAAATGACGTCGTTTTTGTGTCAGCACAATGAGCCATGTAGGGTGTCTATGGTGATTTGATGATGATTTTGGACAGAACTTGTAACGGTTTCCGTTTTGTTCCACGATAAAAGGTTGAGTCTTTTTTTGGTATGTTCGCAAAGTTGTGTTATTTTTGTCCTAGATGTAAAAGGTTAGGCTTTTTTTTTTTGGAAAGTTTGAAAGATTGTATTACTTTTGCCCCAAATACAAACGGTCGGGCTTGTTTATGAGATTTAGCCATGAGTATACTCAAACTCTGTCGATAGATTATTGAAGATTAAAAAATTACACCCTTGAAGACAAAGAATTTTGATGATAGATAGGATTTCTTTAATATTTTAAGAGAGACGTTTATCAGGGAAATGACTAATCTGAGCATGATTACTTCTCTTGGAAGTTGCTTCCTTTTGTTATAACTACTCTTCTCTTGAATTCCTATCAGGTGTTGAGATCTAATCCATTCTCTGCTAATTATGTCATTCTCCCCTGTGTATCCATGAAATCTTGTACAACATTGTGAAGTACAATTAAAACATTTTTCTAGTTCGGAGAAACTGACCCGGATTTAGAAATCCATGAAATTTCTGTATTACTTGTAAACTTCTCATGCATGAGTGATTTTTCTTGGTGAAAGCTTGCTGCACATTTGGATTAGAAATATTTCAAATCTATTCTGATGAAGCAATTATTCGTTCCATTGATTCAAAAATGGATTAGAAATAGTTGTTCTCTCAAATCAGGAATAACTATTCCTAGGGGCCCAAGGAACTAATAGCTATTCCATGAAACCTAGAATAGCTTCAAAATTCATAATTAAAAAATGACTTTGTATTTTTATTAATGAATTATTTTAAATTAAAGCAAAGTTGTTAAATAAGGATTGTTTATTATACTAGAAAATTTCAATTAATAATATATGCTAACAATAATAGAGAGCATAAATATAATTATTATTTCAAGTTACTATCAATAAAAGAAAAATCACATCGGAAAATATTAATATAACTACCTATCACAAGTTTAGTTACTCATAATGAGTTACGAATCCAATGGCAAAAACAAAAACAGTTATATTTTATTTTAATTGTAAGTAGCAAAGTCGGGTAATATACACGAAAATACATAAGAAAAGGGAAAAGAAAAGGACTTTATAAGGTTAAATTTTCTTTATTTTAAGAGAAGTTTGTTTTTCCCAATTGTCACAATTATTACAATAACCATGTCTCTACGTGATTATAGTTCATTTGGATATCTAATATGGAAGGAATACAGTTTATTGGCTAAGGAAGGAATCATATGTTCACTTTGCTAGTCTCTAAAAGACATCGATGCATGTTAATAGCGATATGAACAATGATATCAGATTATTTTAATTGGATATAAATAGTGTTAATGAACATTGATTCTTACTTACAGGGAACAGAAAAGATTGAGGCCATTTATCTTACCGCAAACCGCTCAGGAGGCTTTGGGGGCCAACAATTCAAGAAGTTAAGGAATCTAAGGTTCCTTGAAGCGAGAGGGGCACATTTTAATGGAGATTTTAAGGATTCATTTAAGAAGTTAAAATGGCTTCAATGGCGGAATTGTCCCTTGACTTTTGAAGCAAACAATTTTCATCTAAAGGAATTAGTTGTACTTGATATGTCGCATAGTGAGATTTCAGATGAATGGCAAGGATGGAGTTCCATCATGGTAAGATGGAAGAACAAGTCTATTTTTCTTTTCTTTTGAATCATAATCACTCTGAGCTAACCTTTCGACACTTATAATATTTTTTATCAGATGGCAACGAAGCTAAAATATCTCGACCTTACTTTTTGTAAGAGGCTCGAGAGGCTGCCAACAGAACTGGGTAAATTAGGAGCACTGGAGGAACTCTGTCTAGACGGCAGTGGAATAAGGCAATTACCAAACAGCATTGGGGATTTGCAGAATCTAGAAATTCTGAATATTAGAAGCACTAAGGTAAAAGAATTACCCAATAGTATTGGGAGGCTGACAAAGCTCCGAGTTTTAGATGCTGCAAATTGCTATCAACTGGGAGGGGAACTGCCGAAAAGCATCCGTAATCTTTCTTCCCTGCAATGCCTATATTTGTATTCTTGCGATAAGCTCCAATCGCTGCCGGTGCTTCCTTCCAGCTTAACACATTTGGGCGTCTCCTGTCAAAGTCGCAAATTGACTTCACTTTCCAACCTAACCCATCTCAAGGTGCTACAACTTTATTCTTGCCCAATTCTCGAGCACTTCTGGGAGCATCCCTCCGCACTAAACACTCCCTTCGAATTGGATATCTTGGAAATCTCTTCTTGCGGGCGTATCAAGACACTGAACGTTTCGCTATTTAGTCATCTGAGGACATTATCGGTCAAGTATTGCGATCTTATACTTGAAATTCGAGGTCTTGACAATTTGAAATGTTTGGAAAGCTTGGAAATCGTAGATTGTCCTTCAATTGAAAGGCTCGACCTTCCAAAATCCAAGGGTCTAAAGAAATTAATTGCTCGAGATTGTGAAAAGTTAGTTGAAATTCAAGGCCTCGATAGGTCGGAGTCCTTGGAAGGAATAGATATCTCTTGGTGCCATTCAATTGAAAGGCTGGACCTTTCAAAATCCAAGGGTCTAAAGATATTCAATGTTTTTGATTGCGAAAACTTGGTTGAAATTCAAAGTCTTGATACGTTGGAGTCCTTGGCAAAAATAGATATATGTAAATGCACTTCAATTACGAGGCTAGACCTTCCAAAATCCGAGGGTCTAAAGATATTCAGTGCTGAAGAATGCAAAAACTTGGTTGAAATTCAAGGTCTCGATAGGTTGGAGTCCTTGGAAGAAATAAATATCTGTTGGTGCACTTCAATCGAAAGGCTGGACCTTTCAAAATCCGAGGGCTTAAAGATATTCAATGTTGGATGTTGCAAAAACTTGGTTGATATTCAAGGCCTTGATAGGTTGAAGTCCCTGGAAGAAATAAAGATCTTTTGTTGCACTCTAATTGAGAGGCTGGACCTTCCAAAATCCAAGGGTCTAAAGATATTCAATGCTGAAGAATGCAAAAACTTGGTTGAAATACAAGGTCTCGATTGGTTGGAGTCCTTAGAAGAAATAAATATCTCTCAGTGCACTTCAATCGAAAGGCTGGACCTTTCAAAATCCGAGGGTCTAAAGATATTCTATGCTGTAGAATGCAAAAACTTGGTTGAAATTCAAGGTCTCGATAGGTTGGAGTCCTTGGAAAAAATAGATATATGTGGATGCACTTCAATTACGAGGCTGGACCTTCCAAAATCCGAGGGTTTGAAGATATTCAATGCTAGATATTGCGAAAACTTGGTTGATATTCAAGGCCTCGATAGGTTGAAGTCCTTGGAAAAGATAGATATCTCTAAGTGCACTTTAATTCAGAGGCTGGACCTTTCAAAATCCGAAGGTCTGAAGATATTCAATGCTGGACATTGCGAAAACTTGGTTGATATTCAAGGCCTTGATAGGTTGAAGTCCTTGGAAGAGATAGATATCTCTGAGTGCATTTTAATTCAGAGGCTGGACCTTTCAAAATCCAAGGGTTTGAAGAAGTTATCTATTGAATTTTGCGAAAACTCGTCTCTAAAACATATTGATATCTCAGGATGTTCCTCGATCGAGATCTTACCTGATTTGTCATTATGTACCAACTTGATTAGTCTGGTTTTGCAAAATTGTGAGAAACTGACTGAGCTTGAAGGGCTTGAGGAATTGGAGAAATTAATGTTATTGGACATTTCTGGATGCAAGTCACTCAAAACAATACCAGAATTAGCGAGTACAAGGATTTGTCGAAATTACGAGAAAGAAGCATTTGACTCATATCATACATGAAAAGAATTTGAATATTGCGATGGGATGAGTCAGAATAGTTACGATGATCTACATTTCCTGACAAAGGTACATTAAGCAGGTAAGCTACCTTTTCTCTTTTGAGATCTGTAACCCAATTTTCATTTGTATTTCCTGTTTGCAATTTCTTTTAAGATTTATTACCTTTGCATTGTATTTCCTAGGACAGTGATATTGTTTTCTTACTTGAATTCAAGGAATCTATGGGGAAAATGTCGTGGAAGTTAATGCGTGCTTCGGCAAAATGTTTACGCTCATCATGCCAGTAATGGAAATAGATCAAAAGGCCTTCTAAGTGCATCATTTTTCATTAGCCTTCGGGTAAGATTCTTAATCCTATGCAGAGAAATAAAGATTCTCCTCGTTCGATAGATTTTGGAATGCTGGAATTACTGAGTAAAAACTGATGTATACAGGCGCATGCAAAGGTAATCGTATAGGTCAAGAAATGCTAAATGAATGACCCTATATGGAGCTCATGATATTGGCTTTTAGTTTTCTCTGCGATCACCATGCAGTTCATGACTGCATGTTTCTAAGGCACGGTTAAGAATGAATTTACTATGCAAAAGGAACATGTCGAGAGGGCATCCCTTAGTATGCATATGCTATTGGCTTGGGACAAAATTTGTCCAGCCATTGTGTTCCACACATTTTATCACGAAATTGTTTGCATTAACCGATTAAGGTAATCGTTTCGGTCGAGAAACAATAAATGCAAGAACAGACTTTTCTCCTAGTGGTGTGGTTGTGAATTAACTAGGAACTAGGCCAAAAGCAAAACCATTGTGAATTATTTGGATCGATCGAGAAAATTGCAACTCGAATTTTGCCGACTATGGATCCATGTTCATTTGCTTTGAATCCAGGATATGCCTAAAAGTCCAAGGCAAATAATAGATTAGCCCAAAGAATACTTCGTACTGTTTGTAGAGTTAGTAATGCCATCTTTACCAGAACTTTTGAGTCGAGTAAATGATCAAGATGGCAGACAGGAACGAGAATGTATTTTGACATAATGGGCTGCACTGTGAAATGATCCCTTATATTATGGATAAGCTCTTATTAGTGCGTTTACTTGCTGGAAAAAAAAAACACAGGAAGCGTTTTCATAAGTTTCCTGAGGAAACTTTCCTTTATCCTACATGCCATTACAAAACTGTCTTGCATTCATTTTTTGATATGTGAACAAATCATAATGTTAGGGAAAGAATCATACTATATATCCAAAAAAACAAGCAACTTAAGTTGAATTCACTATACAACTTGATCAAAGCTTCTGTAATTGTTGATGTTAGATGCCTATCAGTTGGATTGAAAGAGTTGAAAAAGAAAATTCATATTGAGTTTGACAAACAAAGATCTGTAAACGTTGGGGTATTATTAGTAGTTTGTTGATGTTAGTTGCTAGATTCATTTCATTTTATTCACTGGCAGGATTTAGTTATTATTCCACCAATTGTGATGTAAATGCTGAATCATCCAAAGGAGCTTTGGAAAGGCTCTTCTAAAAGGAAACAAAATCATCAAAGGATCCGAACTCGATGTTTCTTGGACTGCTCCAAACGCTGACAATGCATCCTTGGAAAGGTGAAGGATGTTCGCCTATTTTTATCCCACATTGCCCTGATTACGATCAACAGAAGCATTGCAGAGCTGAAACTGTCCGTTAAGATGTTTTTGAAATACTGAAAGTCCAGCCAATTAGTCAGATATAGTGCCCAATAATTTGGACGATTGTATTTCAATTTGGTATAATAATTGGCACCTGCATGGAGGTCTTTTGGAGTCTTATTCACAGAGAGTAGTTGTGATTCAGGTTTTGAAGCTATTCTGTTTGGCTGCTAAATTTTGTTGGGTTAATAAAGAACTTAGAGGTTGTTACTTTGGGAAGCTGCTGTCAGAGTTGGCTTGGCATGGTTGTACCCACTGCGGTTGGAAGTCTTGGAATCAAAGTTTTGAGAGGTTGAGATCTTATTGCAGTTGATTTTGCTGTCAAAATGATAGAGGTTGCTGTTAATACCAAATTTGAAAATTTTTCTGGTGTGAAGAACAAGGTCGCCAGAGTCCAGTGATGTGCATTTGAGATTGCGCTCTATTTGGGATATTGAAGCTCAATTGTAACAAAGGTTCAGCTATCATGAACATGCAATTTTGGAATCCAATTGACCATTTGTTTTGCAAAAACAAATGCCCTATAATTTGTCATGTCCCTTGTCAGTATTTGGAGCAGTCTTTCTGTGCTCAGATTACTTATTATCCCTGTTGCACTTTGATTAGTTTTGCTTGCTGCACTTCCTATGCTTAAACTTTTCTTGACCTGTCTTTTCGACGAGTTGCCCATGTTTTTTTTTTCTCTTTTTCCCCTTGAAATGTTATTTGTCGAAATTCTATTGCAGCTTGCATTATATCCAATTGGATACTAAGTGTACTAACAGTAGGAGGTCTAAAAATCAGTTTACTCATTTGGCATCAGGTAATAATGTGCACCGTTCACTCGTTTGGCCTTCCAGTGATAGAGAAGCTTAGGACGCACCAACGCCTCGGATTATGCCTGGTAGGCCTAAAGATACGAGAATAACAGAGGAAGGAGAATCCAAAAATGGATTCAAAGTGTCAATACAAGGCACAAAAATCACATGCCATTTGTGCTTCAAGCGAGGCCACAACTCAAGAAATTGTCCATGGAAACAAAAGGAGAAGGTAAGGTTTATTCATTTTGTGTTTCTGGTCTCTGTGGCGGTCTTTTTTTTCTAACTTTATTTTTCTTAAATGAACATGATGAGGAGATAGTCTGACAAAGAGAAGCCAACCAACTAGTCAAAAAGATGCATCATAACAATGTCACCACTCAAAAGGTACTTTCAACCTTACTTTTAAGTAACTGGCTATGCACTTGAACGATTATAAGAGCCATTTTAACTTGAGCATTGTTTGGTTCTTAATAGCCTGGATGGGAAGGCAGTCGAGTCATTTCTCTACTAAGAGATACCAACAATGTTTTGGTCAATGCTAAGAAGGTAGAGAGTGCAACTCGCATATTTATCACTATAGTGGGAATAGAGGTACAGCTTTATGGTTGTAAACGAGTTGTTATGTAAAGATTTGAAATTTGATTTTTATAGCATGCATTTCTTTCGTCCAGCAGCAAAAGGAAGACATTATGAAAAAGAAGCAAGAGAAATGGAAACAAGCGGTGGAGCATTCGGAGGACATTGGAAGTGTTGGATCAACAAGAACTCCAAGAAAGAGGAAAATCAACCAGAAGTAGCTGTTTAAAGAGTTGGAAGTATGATAATGTTCTAGTACCTTTTGTTGTTATGATACTCTTCAATTTAAGATCAAGAGATGGAGTTTGTTTTCTATATTCGAGTGTATAAGATGTGGCAATGATAGTGTTAAGGCCACAAGCATTCTGGGCTGCAGTCTTTTGTTCTTGGTAGTACATTTGATATTTGAAAAGAAGTGCAGTTGGCCTTATTTCAGCCTCTCTGTCGGTGTTAAAGACTAGGCTGTGTCCACAATAACAAGCCAAGCTTGTTTAGAGGCAGGACATGATTTTTCTAACCTAACAAATTCCACAAATTGTCATTCTAAAAACATCATTTTTCATTGCAAAACACCAGCAGTGGAAGAGTCTGACATTTTATTCTAAAAAATCGACTTTTTATCGCAAAACAACAGCAATTTCATAGACATTATCATTAGTAAAAACTGGAGACCTGATCCTCCAACTACTCAGCAGTTCCAGCCGTGGAACATTGCCCTCATCCAAGTAAAAATCAGAATGAAAATCCACATCATTCCTTCCATAACTCTTCCAATCGTCTTTCGCTTTCCAATTCGAGCAATATACGCAATTAAAAAGGAGAAGAATGTAGTTATATTTAAAGCTAAAGTTCTTATGTAGCAGGCTTTTCATTACACTAATCATCTTTTACCTTGTCAATTAGTAGGGCTTCATTTTTTGGCTGGAGAATCGCCGTAAGAAGAAAAAAATATCAGTGGCTGCATACTTTCCAATCTAAACTCTAAAAGCCACGTCACCATATACTATTTGGGTTTTGCCACGAATAAAATGATATTATACTATCTAGTTTTTCAAATTCGAAAAAAAAATCAACCGACTATCTTCAGAGGACAAATGCAATCGATAACTCCATACTGCTCATTCCACCTTAATAAAAAAAAATATTGCGCTGCAATATGCATGGGAATAAAAACTTTAGGGTAGGAATACTAAGAGTATGAACACATTTACCAAAAAGTGTGACATATGAAAGTAATCAAACTTCTGCAACCCCGATCAAGAAGTAAGACAACTTTCGTATAATCCAAAAGTTCATCTAATATATAATTTTTTTTAAAACAATGGCAAAATGTTTAGGACTAATACCACAAAAAATCATAAACTGGTATACCCATGTCACATTTACCACAAACTATTTTTCGTGTCATGAAAAACCCCAAATTGATATATCCGTGCAACATTTACCCCCAAACTAATTGTCATGACACAAAAAATCGCAGACTGATACACCTGTGCCACATTCACTCCAAACTAATACATCCGTGCCATATTTACCCCAAACTTTGGGATCTCTTCACCAGTTTGAGGTAAATGTGGCTCGAATGTACCAATTTGAGATTTTTTTTATACGACAATTGATTTGGAGTAAATGTGATGTGACCATACCGGTTTGGAGTTTTTTGTAACATGAAAATTAGTTGTGGTAAATGCGGCACGAGTGTACCATTTTGGAATTTTTTGTAGTATTAACCCAAATCTTTAATGGTATAACTATAACTAAGAATATAATAAGTGAAGTCTGAAATTACAAACGAAAAAAAAATCCTCAACCTGCTTCATCACTATTTCACTATTCAAATCCACTTCACTTGATACATTTTTAGATTTTTTCCCAGAGATAATAGTTGATTTGTAGGCGAAAAGCAGTAAAGCGTTGAATCGATAGAAAGAAGATAAAAAAATTCATTGCAAATTCATCAAGGAGTAGCATCGCCAATTTACTATTCACACCCCTTCCACATCCTATATAACATCGTGTAGATGTAAAACTAAAACCTACGAAATAGACCGGCGACATTATTTAGGGCGGCGCTAAATACACTCCTAATATTGGCTCCATACACACCCTTAAAAGTTAGAAGGACGGAAACACCCATGTCGTGGGTATCACGTTCCTGGCACAGGCTTCCACGTCCCTCACTGCCTCAAGCTCCAAAAAGGATGAGTTTGAAGACTCCACATCCCTTTGCTCGCTGGGGGATTTCATCGAACAACGTCTGGGCGTGGTGAGAAGGGCGACGCCTGTCGGCGATCGGCCCAATTAAAGATTTAATGTTATTGTCGATATTTAATTTCGATTATTATAACATTAATATATATATTTTTTCCATTTTCTATGTTTTTAATTTTCTACATCAATTAAGGGCAAAAGAAAGATTTCCTGCAAAATTTTAAAAGCCATTGCATTGCACATGCCAACTGAATAAATAGAGGATAATTACACAAATGGTTCTTGAATTTTGGTCGCATGTTCAATGCCGTTCTTGAATTTTTAATTTGTTTAATGTAGTCCCTAAACTTTTGGTACGTATTAATCTAGTTCCTGAATTATATGAAAATTTCAATATTATCCTTGAACTTGAATTAATGAAAGGACAACATTGAAAATTTCCATATAGTTTAGGGACTAAATTGAATATGTATCAAATATTCATAGACCGCATTAAACATCTTAAAAGTTTAAAAATGACATTACACATTCGGCAAAAGTTTAGAATCCATTTGTGTCATTTTCCCAAATATAATGGAGTGTCAATGGCGATAACAGAAATGAGAGTTCAGTGATACTTTGTAACAATTGAAGGTTCATAGGCAAACTTATACTTGCCCCAAATTCAAATAATTTCCCCCTAATTTGAGGGAGGGGTTGAACCATGTCTACTCACGCATATGGGCCTTGGACCAAACTCAAATCCACGTTCATCGAGCTTCCCTAGTTTTAAGCAATGTTGGGCACCGTTGATGCCTTGCGACAGATTACCAATGTCCAAGACTGTCTTGTGATAGCTCTAACGATTAAACGGACAGAGCCCCAACAAATAGTCAAGGAAACGAAAAAGAGAAGGAACACTACTTATAGTAGAGGTTAACACGCTTGCGGGAGAATGATACTAAAAGTGCCAAAAATTATGTGTAGCGCTCACTTTAGTGTCAAAAGTTTTCGTTAACTCACTTAAGTGTCAATGGTGAGAATTTCCGGCCAAAAATATTACGTGGCAATTATATTAAAAAAATTAATATGAGTTGGCAATTTTTATTAAAAGACAAGTCCACGTTGGCTCTTTGTCTGCTGTCCCACGAAGAAGAAAAGAAAATATGGACATTTTTTTATCTCTTCATCTCTCTCCTCAGTTACTCTCTCTCTCTCTCTCTCTCTCTCTCTAAGCTCCTCTCTGCAACAATGGCGCTACTTGCTCCCACGAATCATCGGAGTTCGACTTTTGCCCCTCCCTCATCGTTGCCACCAGCCGAGTCGCCGGCACTAATCGAGCCGACCAGATCTGGCCGGACGACGCCGACAACGGTTAGGGACGGGCATGCGTCGCTCACAAGCCGCTCGTCCAGATTTGGCCTCGCCCATCTCGTTCTGCAAAGGCCGCTCGTTTATATTTGGATTCCCCTTTCCTTGCGTTCCTCTTCGCCAAAAAAGACTTCCGATCTCGAATCTTGTTCCTGGGAGGAGCAATTACTCACCGGATTAGGGTTTTTAGAGGCCGATTTCTGCGATTTTGCGGACTTGGCTGCCGCAAGGGAATCAGCCACTTTGGGGATCTTGAAAATCTCTCTTTCTTCTTGGTGATCTCATGGTGGAAATGGACACGCGCTGCGAAGAGGGCAAAGCGAAGCAAAATCTGTTAGCGTCTAGTCTCCGTCGCCGGTCACCACCAGTCCGTCTGATTGATTTCCGTGAGAGCAGAGCGCATCCAAGAACGTGAAAATTTAGGGTTCTTCCGACAAAAAATAATCGATTTAGGGTTCCAAACAAAAAAAAATTAAATTAGGGATTATATTTATGAGAAAAACCACGTCGTTTAGGGTTATTTGCTTATTGGGCACTCCGGCGAGCCACATTGGATTGAGAAATTAATAAAAAATGATCATGTCAGATTTCCGGCGAACCTGATCAGAGTTGACACTTAAGTGATCGTTTTTAAAAAAATCGGCACTTAAGTGATCCGAAAAAAAAATTTTGGCACCAAAATGAACGTCGTATATAATTTTTGACACTTTTAATGTTCTTCTCCATCATGCTTGCTTGCCATGATTTTCAAAAGCAAACGTGACTCTATCAAATCTGAGCGACCCTTGAATCGAGTTGTGGTCTATGTATTTGGATTTGGCGGATGGAGTTAGCGTCGTGAGAATTCACGAGTGAGGGTGTTTGTGGTCGAGTGGCGACGCCATGATGCTTAGGGCTCGTTTGGTAACGTGCAAAACAGTAAAAATTTCTGTTCTTTTGTTCCCAGAAATAGTTTGGGAACAGAAATGCGTTTGGTAAACTTTTTGTTCCAGGCATATTTTTGCAAATATTTGTGCCGAGAAACAGTTTTGGAAAAGAAACAAGAAGTAAAAAAAAGTTGTTTCTTGTTTCTCTGCACAATTTTGAGAATAAGTTTTTTTTCTTCCTTTTCTTTTCTTTCTTTTCTTCTTTTTGTGTTGCTCTTCTTGCAAAGAACTTATTTAATTAGGTGAATCTGCATCAGCGTTCACCTTGGCTCCTGTTTCTTAGTTAAAAAAAGCCACACAGCTTTGTTTGCTATCAAACTTCTTGGCGAAACCTAAATAGACTACATTGCATTCTGCGATCAACAACCACATTGCAACATCAAATTCTAACGACGCGACTGTGCCCCTTGCTGTTCACCAGATCCTACATAAAAGATGTAATTTCCAGAGTTATCGAATCCCGGCATAACTAATCTCTAACGAACATGCCAAGTCATCACCTGACACACTGTCCATAACGACCCCAGATGAGAGCGACCTGCTCCGATGATTCGGGAAATGATTGGAACGGCACATCCTTAATCACACGAGATAGCGGCAAAAGAAAAGGAAAGCAGCAGGGGATCCCATCATTTTGACAAAAGGGAAAAACAACACCATGCTAGTCCTCTAGTTATCAACAAGAACCGAGTCACGATGTCGCTCGAGTCCATCAACCAAACTCTCGGGCGATAAAACTGCCAAACGAATGACAGTTCGAAAAATCTTAAGATCAGACTAACATCCCCAAGGATACCCTTAAAATGCCAACTCTCCCTCCCTCCCCAAACCTCTTTCGGCACCAAGATGTGCATATCGGACCGGCGATCAAAACACCATAACCATGCAAGGAGTCCGTTCAAGATCCTACATCATTCAACTGCATCGGAAACCGAAAAAAGGC